AAAAGAAAAGTTCTTCCAAAAGGCTTTTGAATGAGGCCTGATAAGAATTTAGCAGCCGAAACTTTGATAGTCTCTAGGACAGATAAAAGTGTTGCCCATGGAGAATGATCTGCTTTTACCACTAGCTGAGCCAGAATACAACAACTTTCTCTTGGAGATCAGGGAACCAGGTCAGGAGTGCATGTGGAGGGGTCAGGAAGGACAGGGCTGTGTTATTCCTCAGAAGACTTTGGAGTTTCTTTCAGCACACAGGTGCAACTGTAGAAGTAGTCTTGGGATCTGTTTTCTATTTCATACTAAGTTTTAACTAAGTCCTTTAACCATATCCTAACTTGGGTAGATGTTAATATACCAAGGGTAGATGCTAATATACAGGGTGTCCATAGAGTCCATGTGCAATTTAAAATAGTGTGCCACTGTAAAACTGCACATGAACTTTATGGACACCCTGTATATTTGTGGGGATTCTACAGCTGAAGCCCTTGTTTAACTTTGGAATTGCTGTTAGGAACTCTACCTAAGACTTTGTGATAAGCATCTTTTAGACATAAAGATACCACTTACTCTTCAGGACTGGTTAATATACAATAGGCCCATTTCTAAGTTTGTTGTTTTTTTGTTTGAGACAAAGTCTCACTTTCTTGGCCCTGGTACAGGGTGGCATTGTAGCTCACAGCAACCTCAAACTCTTGGGTTCAAGTGATCCTCTTGCCTCAGCATCCCAAGTAGCTGGGAGCCCACCACACCACCTGGCTGTTTTTTAGAGACAGGGGACCACCTGGCTGTTTTTTAGAGACAGAGTCTCACTCCTGCTCAGGCTGGTTTCAAACTCCTGAGCTCAGGCAATCCACCTCCCTCAGCCCCCCAAGTGCTGGGGTCATAGGCATGAGCCGCTGTACCTGGCCCTGTAACTATGTTTTTAAAATATCTAAAGTTCAGGAATTCACAAGATACCAATCATAAACTATGGTAGGCCTGAGGAGGAAGAGGATGTTGAGCAAATACTAATTTTGACAGTCAAACTTGTACTTGGGCTGTACACTTCAGGACATCAGTGTCCTCCCTTGCTTAGAACCTGTGTCAAGTTATTATTTCAGTTCTAGACAGATTCACTTTTCAGATTTCTCGATTTCTCTATTTGAAGATAGACCAGTGCACTCAGAAACTCCTGAACTGAAAACATTGAAGACCAGAAAGACTGACTCTTCTAAGTTTTCCTTCCTAGGTCACTGAGCAACCTTTTTTAGCAGGAATTAAACCTCACCCAGTTCTATCACTTTCTTTTTGGCAAGCATGCTCCCCTTTCGGTCTTGTCTTGCTTTTCTAACCCTGGTGCCCAGCAATCTCTTGTGCACATCTGCTGTCTTAATGGAAAGGAGGTTTTCTTTCTTTCTTTCTTTTTTTTTTTTTTAAGACAGAATCTCTCTGTTGCCCAGGTTAGAGTGCTGTAGCATTAGCCTTGCTCACAACAACTTAACACTTCCTGGGTTCAAGCGATCCTCCTGCCTCAGCTCCTGAGTAGCTGGAAGGACAGGTGCCTGCCACAAGGCTGCCTAATTTTTATTTTTTACTTATTTATTTATTTTTAGTAGAGATGGGGTCTTCCTCTTGCTCATGTTGATCTCTAATTCCTGATCTCAAGGGATCCCCTGCCTTGGCCTCCCAGGTGTGAGCCAAAGGTTCATTTTCTTTAGTGAAGGTGGTCTGTGTAACAAAAACTATATCCACATGGCAGTGCTCCAGTAGGTGGGTCAGTACCCTCAGTCTGGTTACTGCCTAAAAGGCTCTTCAGTTCAAGAATTATCCTTGACAGTTGTCAAACTACTGGAAGAAGGAGGGGAAAGGGCAAGGCATGGGGAGGAGAGAGCTGGCTGGGGAGCCCCCTCGGGTTTAGCCCTGACGCTGCCACTCCAAGTGTGTTTCATTGGCAGATTTTCTTACATTCAGTGGAAATTTTTATTATCTTGGTTACGTATAATTCTAATTTCTTTCATTGCATATTTTCTAGATTATGATAATTTATTCCCCTTCTCATTAGTTGCCGCATGGTTCTTGATTTATTCTGCTCTTCCTTCACAAAACACCCCAGCCCCAGCCAAATATTCCCTTGTTGGCACACAGGCCCTTCTGCAGGATGATGGGTGGGGATGGGGAACTGAATTGTAAGCCACAGAGTGTGTGTTGCCCTTTGGTTTTGTGTGAGTTCTGAAGATGTATGTCCATATTCCGTGTCCTATAAGGAAATGCTGAAATAGCCTAGCCTTGCCTACAGTGGGATTCGTGGGTAAGCGAAAGCTAGGATGATTCAGGGAGAGGAGGAGGTGGCATACGTAGGCATTTTTTTGATTGCTAGAGATTCTTTTGTTCCTCACGTTTGAAAGCAGTGGAGGGGCCAAGAGGGCACTTAAAGAACCTCTTATCAGGCATCATTTATGTTTTTAAAACAAGGCTTAGAGAGGGTTCTGTATAATGTTCAGTCCAGGGGGTTGCTTTTAATGATTTGCCAGAAAATGTTTTTAAAAGGAAAGGAAAGGTTCCAAGTTGTTCTATAGACCATATTGTGCGAAGACTTCTAATTTTAAATTCAGAACGAGATGACAAAGCAAACTGGTTTCCTTCTGGGATGCTTTCTGTGAAGGCCGTGGGTTTGCCAGAGTAACTACGATGACGTTTGCCGATTGCCCATGTTTGCTGCAGCTCTTACAATCCTTTCCTTCTTTTTTTTTTTAACCTTCTACATCTCGACTGTGTCCTTCCTTTCCTTTTTCTTCTTTTGTGTATTTTTTTCTGGCTTGTTTTTGGATTGTCTTCTCTCATAGGTTCTTTTTCAAATTCTGTCAATTAAAATATGTCATAAACATTGGGCGGCGCCTGTGGCTCAGTGGGCAGGACGCCGGCCCCATATATCGAGGGTGGCGGGTTCAAGCCCAGCCCCAGCCAAACTACAACAAAAAATAGCCAGGCGTTGTGGTGGACACCTGTAGTCCCAGCTACTTGGGAGGCTGAGGCAAGAGAATGGCCAAAGCTTAGGAGTTGGAGGTTGCTGTGAGCTGTGACGCCGTGGTACTCTACCCAGGGTGATAAAGTGAGACTCTGTCTCTAAAAAAAAAAAAAAAATTTTCATAAACATGAAGTATTTTTTAGTGTACTTTTTTTTGTTGTTGAGACAAAGTCTCACTATGTCACTCTTGGTAGAGTGCTTTGGCGTCACAGCTCACAGCAACCTCAAACTCTTGGGCTTAAGCGATTCTCTTGCCTCAGCCTCCCAGGTAGCTAAGAATACAGGCGCCCACCACAATGCCCAGCTATTTTTAGAGATGAGGTCTGGCTCTGGCTCTGGCTCAGACTGGTTTCGAACCTGTGAGCTTAGGTAGTCCACCTGCCTCGGCTCCCAGAGTGCTAGGATTACAGGTATGAGCCACTGTGCCCAACCTTTTATGTACTTTTTAAAATTACACAAACCAAAGATACAGTACCAAAATCTGGCAAATTTCATCTTCGATGTATAGAGAACTTCAGGAGAAAGGCCACTTTCTCACGTAGCTCTTATTTTTTTTTTTTTTTGTACCATTGCTGTTTCTTACCCCTCATCCTCATCTTTGTCATCTTACCCTTGAGCTTATTGTCTCAGGACAGAAATGGGACAAAGGCCCCAACACTGGGTAGACTGCTGTGATGGGGAAGCTGAGGGGCTGGACCTTGAAAAGCGGGAGTGTGGATGGTGTCAGGTCCTTGCTGTGGCCAGTAACAATGACGATAGGGTGTTGTTAACCTCCAGTTTGATTGTCTTCAGTGGTCTTGTACCTGGGCATGATAACGTTTTAGCTTAGATGACCACCTGAACATGGTATAATGTCATAAGTATGGGCCAGGCACAGTGGCTCATGCCTGTAATCGTAGCACTCTGGGAGGCCAGGGGAGGTAGATTGCTTGAGTTCAGTTCAAGAGCAGCCTGAGCAAGAGCTAGACCCCATCTCTACTAAAAATAGAAAAACTAATGGGGTGTCATGGTGGGAGGATTGCTTGACCCCAAGAATCTGAGGTTTTGGCTTGGTGCCGATAGCTCAGTGGTTAGGGTACCGGCCACATGCACCGGGGCTAACAGGTTCAAACCTGGCCCAGGCCTGCTAAGAAACAATGACAACTACAACAAACAAATAGCTGGGTGTTGTGGTAGGCGCCTATAGTCCCAGTTACTTGGGAGTCTGAGGCAAAAGAATTGCTTAAGACCAAGAGTTTGAGGTTGCTGTGAGCTGTGACACCACAGCACTTTACCGAGGGCAACATAGTGAGACTCTGTCTCAAAAAAAAAAAAAGAGAGAATCTGAGATTTCTCTGAGCTGTGATGATGCCACAGCCCTCTGTCCAGGGCAACAGAGTGACACTCTGTTTCAAAAAGAAAGAAAAAGAAAAAAAAATGTTTTTAATGGCACAAGTCTTACTAAACATTTATGGTATTCAAAACAGTCTCACAGGCAACAGAAGATACAAGGGGTTTGGGGAATTATAAGGAATTCCCTTAGGGATAATGGAATAGTGAGAGGTGCTCTAAGTGCCCCGGCTCACACCTGTCATCCTACCACTTTGGGAGGCTGAGAAGGGAGGATCACTGGAGGGCTCAGTTTAGGACCAGCCTGGGCAACAGCCTGTCTCTCCAAAAAAAAAAAAAATTAAAGAAAAAGAGAATGCCAGAGTGTAGTAATGACATAATCAAAGATGAATCTGATAAAGTATGAGTAAAAAAGGGATTGAAAGTTGGGTAAGAGGATAATGACAAAGTCCAAACAGAGTCAGGAGGATTTGCCCTAAGGAGCAGTGAGAAAGGAAGGGCTGGGAGATGGTAAAAGGCATTCTGAGGATCTCAAGCACGTACTCCGGGGCACACACAGGTAATAAATGGATCACCAGACATCACTGAGGATGAGTTAGGAGTGAGCATGAATTTTGTAGTAATCCAGTCAGCAGGTTTTTTGGAGTATTTGACAGCTTAAGAACAGATAAGGGGATAAAAATGGCTAAAAAGAATTTGATAATAGTCAAATGAATAAAAGATTTTATAGTCTTAGTGTTTTCTCCACATTTCATTTAATCTAGTCAAACATGCTCCAATAAGAATTTCATAAACTGTGCCCATTTCAGTCATTCCCTGTTTCCAGCCCAGCCTGTTTAAAGTAGTTTTCCTTTTGCAGGACGGCATAGTAAATCCAACAATAAGAAAAGATTTGAAAACCGTGCCAAAATTCTACTGTTGCCCAATTGAAGGATGCCCCAGAGGCCCTGACAGACCATTTTCTCAATTTTCTCTCGTAAAACAGGTATTTGCTTTTCTTAAGTATCCTTCTCTGTGGTAGAAATACAGATGATATGAAACTAATGTGCATGGTAATTAATGACCACGTGCCCAGAACTGAGTCGAACGCTGCTTGCGAGAGCAGATGCCCAAGCAGCTCCTCGTTGGTGACCTGAGCGTGGTGTAGTGCTTGTGGGGGCTGTTCTGGAGGGAGTATGGCTTCAGAGAGAAAGAGGTAGACTAGCTCAGCAAGAATGAGAAGACACATGCTTGCCGATCTCTTGGGTGAGTCATTTCCAAGGACAGAGCAGGAAGGCACTAAGGAGCTGTTCTCCCAGGGGGTAAGAAGCATCCAGGGGGAGTGTTGGGGCATCTTAAGAGGAGGGACGGCCCAGAAACAGGAAAGAGGTGACCCAGCACTGGAGGATACTGACATCTGAAATCTTTCCCCAAAGCTCTGCTGGAGGTGTCCTGAGACGAGCACTGCAGTGATGTTTTCCCCCTGCCTTCCAGCACTTATTTGTAGATCAAGGTCTAAGTGCTGGATACCATGGATTGTCTCCTCAAGTCTCCTCGGTTTTCATAGAGGAAATGTGACAGGGGAGGGGGCGTACAGTAGAGTGCCGTCTGCCTGCTTTTGAATTCTCCCGACGGGGACTGCTGTATTTTATACCCATAAAATCACTGAGAATGGGATAGTTGATGGTTTTGAGATGTGAATACCTGCTGTCTCTCATCTCAGTGCCCTCTGTGTCCTTCCCAGCACTTTATGAAAATGCATGCAGAGAAGAAGCATAAATGTAGTAAATGCAGCAACTCGTACGGCACCAAGTGGGACTTGAAGAGGCACGCGGAGTACTGCGGCAAGACCTTCCAGTGCACGTGTGGCTGTCCCTACACTAGCAGGACCGCACTACAGTGCCACATCTACCGAACTGGCCATGAGCTCCCGCCAGAACACAGGTGAAGGGAAAGAACTGATGGCACAGAAGTCGGGAGCTAGGGGGAAAGTTTCAGATGAAACATCCAGAGGGCCTGTAGTGCTGGGAGAAAACAAGAATCAGGAAAAAATTATGGGAAGGAAAGAAGAAGGAAACTGCTGGAAATGGCAGCAGTACTAGCAGAGGACTCGCATCTGGGCCTGAAGTCTTGACCCAGTTGTTCTTTTTTTCTGCCACCCTTTTTTCAGGATCCCATGTATTCCCATTTGAAAGTCCCAAGTTCCTTGCTTGGCACCCATAGCACAGTGGTTACAGTGCTGGCCACACGCACCAAGGCCAGTGGGTTTGAGTCCAGGCCGGGCCAGCTGGATAACAATGACAACTGCAACCAAAAATAGCTGGGCGTTGTGGCGGGTGCCTGTAGTCCCAGCTACTCAGGAGGCTAAGGCAAGAGAATTGCTTAAGCCCAAGAGTTTGAGGTTGCTATGAGCTGTGATGCTACAGCACTCTACCAAGGTAGGGAGACTCTGTCTTTAAAAAAAGAAAGTCTCAACTTCTAGCATTTTCTATCAGAGGGATATCAGATTGCTGAAAAGTAAATTTTATCATGAAACTACTTCATTTTAAGGTCAAAGTTATATTTAGTATAATAGCTTCCTGCGTTAGAAATGATAAAACGTGTATTATGTAAATCTTCCTTTTTCTTAAAACTCTGAGGTCTAGTACTTAGAGCTTAACCAAAAAATAAAGGTGTACTTCCTCCTTCCCTGTTTGCATGTTTCTGAATGTCCACCTATCATAATAGGCCCAATTCCCAGAGTTGCAAAAGAAGGAATTTATCTTCTCTGATGAAATGTGGGAAATGGCCTTTGTGAGTAAGTGAAGTACAGTGTCACAGTCGAAGATATCTGTACTTTAATATTATTTTTCTTTTTGCTCTGTCATTGTTTTCAGGGACCCACCCAGTAAGAAAAGGAAAATGGAAAACTGCCTGCAAAACCAGGAGTTGTCCAATGAGACCATCGAATCACCGAGCAACCAGCCAATCCATAAACCAGACACTCAAGAACTAGAAGCTTCAGAAATAAAGCCAGTAGCTCCTTTTGAAGATTCTTGTGGCTCGAATGAGAGGAAGCAGAAGCTTACAGCACCTCCCAGATATCCTCAAAAGTTGCTTTTACCAAAGCCCAAAGTGGCTTTGGTTAAACTACCTGTGATGCAGTTTTATCCTGTGCCTGTCTTTGTGCCTATAGCCGACTCCTCGGCCCAGCCTGTGGTGTTAGGTGTCGAACAGGGCTCTGCGACAGGGGCTGTGCACTTAGTGCCCTTGGCAATAGGGACCCTGATCCTCGGCCTAGATTCAGAGGCTTACTCTCTTAAGGAGAGCCTACCTCTTTCCAAAATTGAGCCAGTTAGTACAGGTGTTCAAGTGAACTTGGGTAAAAGTCCATCTAATTCTTTACCCGAATTAGGGAACACATGTCAAAAGAACAGCATTTCTTCGATCAATGTACAGACAGATCTGTCTTACGCCTCACAGATCTTTACACCTTCTACGCAGTGGGCTAGCGCTGATTCCTCTGTGTCATCTTGTTCCCAGACTGACTTGTCTTTTGATTCTCAAGTGTCTCTTCCCATTAGTGTTCACACTCAGACATTTTTGCCCAGCTCTAAGGTAACTTCATCCATTGCTGCTCAGACCGATGCATTTATAGACACTTGTTTCCAGTCAGGTGGGGTCTCCAGGGAAACTCAAACCAGTGGAATACAGAGTCCGACAGATAACCACATACAGATGGACCAAGCTGGAATGTGCGGAGACATTTTTGAGAGTGTTCATTCATCGTACAGTGTTGGTACAGACAGTATCGTAAGTAGCACATTAGCAGAGACAGTAACCCAGAGTTTGTTGCCTCAGAATGACCCTAAGATTTTAAATCAAGATGTTGAGAAATCTGCACCAATTATAAACTTCAGTGCACAGAATAGTATGCTTCCTTCACAGAATATGACAGATAATCAGACCCAAACCATGGATCTATTAAGTGATTTAGAAAACATCTTGTCAAGTAATCTGCCTGGTCAGTCATTGGATAATCGTAGCCTTTTGTCTGACACAAATCCTGGATCTGACACCCAGCTCCCATCTGGCCCAGTTCAGAATCCTGGAATAGATTTTGACATTGAAGAGTTCTTTTCAGCCTCAAATATCCAGACTCAAACTGAAGAGAGTGAACTTAGCACCATAAACACTGAACCAGTCTTGGAATCTCTGGACATAGAGACCCAAACTGACTTCTTATTCGCAGACACCTCTGCTCCGTCCTATGGATGTAGGGGAAATTCCAACTTCTTAGGCCTTGAGATGTTTGACACACAGACACAGACAGACTTAAACTTCTTTTTAGACAGTAGCCCTCATCTGCCTCTGGGAAATATTCTGAAACACTCCAGCTTTTCCATGAGTACTGACTCATCTGACACCGAGACCCAAACTGAAGGAATTTGCACTGCTAAAAACATACCCCCTCTGGAAGGTAAGGTTCAGTTGAACAGCACAGAGACACAGACCATGAGTTCTGGTTTTGAGACACTGGGGAGTTTGTTCTTCACCAGCAATGAGACTCAAACAGCAATGGATGACTTTCTTCTGGCTGATTTGGCCTGGAACACGATGGAATCTCAGTTCAGCTCTGTAGAAACCCAGACCTGTGCCGAACTACACAGAGTCTCCAACTTCTAAAAGTGGAGTCCACGTATGGGGTGGCGTTTACCATTTCCTCTGGATTTGGGAAACAGGGAATGGGGACAACAGTATTAATTGTTGAATGTAGTCGAAGATGCCGTTGCTTAGCTTCTTTGCAGTTCTTTGCCTTTTGTACTTGTAAACATGAAATTGGTGTATAAATGTGAGTATATTATAAAGTGTAAGATGTTGATCTCAAATAATTGTTTTTTGTGTTGCCTACATTTGCCTTTTTACAGCTAGTCTCTCCATCTTTAAAAAATAGTATTTCACACCCATAAAACCTAGATAGCCATTTAGCTGAAGCCAAGCTTACCAGATGCTAGGGTACAAGCTTCTCAAATCTTCAAAACATTTTAGTTGAGTGTAATGTACTTAAATTGCACATAAAATATTTTTGACCGTGCTTTTCAGAAATTCCTGTTTCTTGATAGTAACATCGGAAGAAACCCAACGCTGCCACCATCAGATTTACACAGCAATGCTTCTGTGGTTGTAGACTCCCGCTGCCTGCAGTTTCATCTGCTTTGACATCTCTTTTCTAATTTGAAAACTTCAAGGAAAACTACAGCTGTCTGTAGCTTTTTAGGTAGTTTTCGTGTAGTCTGCTCTCCCTCCTCTACGTGAGCTCTTATTGATACCAGTGTCAATGTATATATAGTACTTTCCTCATAAGAAGTTTATTGCTGTAAAATTATTGCCTCTAGAAAGAGCAGCAAGCACAGTGTAAATAATGATCCTGCTAAATAACAGTAAGTCATGCAAACCACGGAAACGCAGGGTTGCCCATGAGTTCATCCTGGGTGTGCTTTCCACAGTAGGCCAGAGTGCAGCTCTGGAGCTGCTTCCCGAAGTGCACCACAGACTGGCTCTGAGTGTCGTTAACTCTCAGTGTTAAAAGTGAGAAGAGAAAAGGACATTCCCCCCTAGATTGCAGCACTTTGCATTTTTCTACTAAGCTTGATATCAAGGGCAACAGTGTAATCTTCAATTATTTTAAATTGTTTAAATTCGTTTTCTTCCATCTACCACTCACTCAGTCTTTCCCATCAGTAAGAGAAGACATTGGTGTAGCAAGGATATTTGTGCCTTGAGACTCACAATCAGAATGACAGGTCCGTATAAAACATGGTATTCTGCATTTTGTGGCTTTATTCTTTAAAAGAGGATAATACCAGTGAACTTACTGTTTCAATGATCAAGAACATTTACTGTGTTTTGAGATGGGAGTACAATCAACTATGCTTTGGGGGTTTTCTGTATTGGAGAAATCCTGAATTCTTAATAGTTGGCCAACTTTCAGGCACGTAAGGATCAGAGCAGCCTGTATGTTCTCTTAAGTTTACAAAAAAAAAAAAAAAGAGAAAAAAACCACAGGCACATACTTGTGCTATTGAAGGCTAACTCCTTAAAATAAAACCTAAGGAGACTAGTGATTCATTAAAGTAAATTGATGGTTTTGCTACTAATTTCTATCCCATGTATCAGATACAAAAGAAGTGTTGGTAATTAATAAATAACACATCCAAGGCAGATGAATTCAACCTAGTAGATAAAAGTTTGCTTTGGTCACAGTTGCCTATGAATATGGGTTTCAAACATAAAGCCTTAACTTAGAATTTCATTATGTTTTAGAACTGTCATTGCCTTAATGTTCCAACATCTATTTAAGTCCTCCAAATAAAGGAGAAATGCATGTTTGTGGGGTTTTGTAAGTACATGTGCAGTGATCTATGGCTTAAAACATTTTTTTTGTTCCTGTGACAATGTTTCTTAACCCATCCGGTATATTTACAGAAAAATGGAGCATGTAATAGTCCTTCATGTATAATAACTGTTTGCCCCTCAGAACCTTAGTTCCTGAACCAATTATTTGTAAAAACTGAAATTTGGTGATTAAAGAAAAGCTAGAATTCTAACATTTTTGTGGATTCTTCAGCATAATCATAATGACTTATTTTGTTGCCTTAACTTTTTACTGACTTGGGTTCTGAAAGTCACATGATGCAATGATTTTATTTCATAATGCCCAGGAATTTTCATCATTGTTTCACCTTTGTTCAAGAGGCATATGCTTGGCTCAGTGCCCGTAGCACAGTGGTTACGATGTCGGCCACATACACCGAGGCTGGTGGGTTCAAACCCAGCCCAGTCCTGCTAAACAACAATGGCAACTGCAACAAAAAAAATAGCCAGGCATTGTGGCAGGCACCTGTAATCCCAGCTACTTGGGGGGCTGAGGCAAGAGAATCACTTAAGCCCAAGAGTTTGAGGTTGCTGTGACACCACAGCACTCTACCAAGGGTGGCATAATAAGACTCTGTCTCAAAAAAAAGAAGAGAGGAATATGCTGACAATTTTCCTAGAAAGAACACTTTAGGTTACAGCAACAAGATGCTCCCACAAACAAAAGAAGCAAAAGAACAAATAAGCTTTGATGAGAGTATCAGAAGGAAAATGCTGGGGTACAGCGGGAGATTGGTGAGAACCTGTGGAGCATGGAGACTGAGGATGGCTGCACAGAGAGGGAATGAAACACCCGCCCCTGCCTACCCCAATCCCCCCCCACCATCTCCCCAGGTAGGATTAGCTCAGAACCTGGAGGGACTGCTCACTGTGGGGAAAAGGAAAGCAGGATGCCCCCTCCCTACCTTAGAAGGTCCCACCAAGCACAGACACCTGTGTTGCTGAAGAACCCTGCAGCTCTCACAGGCTGGGGAGCCAGTTTAAAAAGCTGCCTGGAAGGCTCGGCACCTGTGGCTCAAGCAGCTAAGGCGCCAGCCACATACACCTAAGGTGGCGGGTTCAAATCCAGCCCGGGTCCGCCAAACAACAATAACGGCTGCAACCAAAAAATAGCTGGGCATTGTGGCAGGTGCCTGTGGTCCCCACTTGGGAGGCTGAGACAGGAGACTCGCTTGAGCCCAGGAGTTGGAGGTTGCTGTGAACAGTTAAGCCATAGCTCTACCCAGGGGGACAGCTTGAGGCTTTGTCTCAGGGAAAAAAAAAAAAAAAAAGCTGCCTGGAATTCCCATGGCTGCATGACTCCAGAGGAGGAGCCCACACTGTGAGCCAAGCTGCTGCAGCATGACACCATTTTCGAACTGGACCCGCTCCTACACAGCATCCTGCTCTGGGGACAGTAGCCACTGCATCTCTACAGTAAAGAGGTTCTGCCATCTCTCACAATAGTGCACCATTCCCCAGCCAAGGTGCTACAGCTCCCTGCTCATGGGAACAAGCTGCCTAGTAGGTACTCTATTCCCCATCCCGGTGGCTGCAGAGCCTGAAACTTGGCTAACAGAGCCTAGGGCCAGTGGAACAGCTGGGACCCTGGTGCCTAAGCCCACATGGTGCCCTGCCTCCCAAGAAATAGACAGTCTTTCTCAGTCTTTCGGAAGCCAAACCGAGGTAAGTGGATCAGCCCTGCATCATCTCACTGTATAAACCAGCCTGGTGCCCCACCCACAGGGGAACCATGCCCAACATGATGGGACAGCTATACAAAGTGCTCTAGGCTACAGAGGTACTCACAAGCATCACTGACATAGATTATAACTGAAGAAACTACAAAGGGACTATGCTAAGGTGCCTACACAGAACCAAACCCAATGTACTCAATCCAATTGACACCTTAGGACCCACCTGCAGGGGAAAGTCTTTCCCTGTATCTTACAGGGCACCCTGTGAAACTGAGAATGGTGACTGTTCTCCCAAGTGTGCAGAAATCAACACAGGGAAAAAGAAACATGAAAAGACAAGGAAAGATGATACCACCAAAGAAACAATAGTTTCCCAATAACTGAACACAGATAAAAACTTACAAATTTCCTGAAAATGAAACTTACAATTTCCTGAAAATGACAATTTTAAGGAAACTCAGTGAGATATACAGGAATACAGATAAAACAATTCATGATCTGAGAAATTCAACAATCTTTTATCAAAAAAGCAAATCTGGGCAGCGCCCCAGCCAAAAACTGAAAAGACAAAGAAAAAAAAGTCAGGTCGGCACCTGTGGCTCAAGGAGTTGGGCACCGGCCCCATATGCCAGACATGGTGGGTTCAAACCCAGCCATGGCCAAAAAAAAAGCAAATCTCAGAGCTGAAGAATTCAATGAATGAAATAAAATTCAGTGGGGAGCTTCAACAGCAGAATAGATTAAGCAGAAAAAGAATTTCTCAACCTGAAGGCAGGTCATATGAAATAACCTATTCAGAGGAAACAAAAATAATGAAAAAGAGTGAAGAAAGCCTACATGACTTATTATGGGACTTAATTATGGGACATAAGTAAACAAACAAATATTTGCATGATGAGTTTCAGAAGGAGCAGAGGTGAAGACACAGCAAGCTTATCAATGAAATGATAGCTGAAAACTTCCTAAATCTTGGGAAAGAGATGGACATCCAAGTCTGTGCTACTCAAAGAGCCCTAAATTGATTCAATCTAAAGAAGTCCTCTTTCTCTCAGAGACTGATTCAATCTAAAGAAGTCCTCTTCCTCTCTGAGGCACATTATAACTAAACTTTATAAAAAGTCAAAGGGAGAATTCTAAAAGCAAGAGAGAAGCATCAAATCACATATAACTGTAGGTTTCTCAGCAGAAACCCTGCAGTCCAGGAGAGAAAGGGATAATATATTCAAAGTGCTGAAAGTGCTGGGCGAGGGCTTACATCTGTAGTCCTAGCACTCTGGGAGGCCAAGGTGGGTGTATTGCCTGAGTTTGGGAGTTCAAGACCAGCCTGACAAGAGCAAGACTCTGCCTCTACTAAAAATAGAAAAATCTGGCCAAGTGTGGTGGCAGGCACCTGTAGTCCTAGCTGAAGCAAGAACCTCGCTTGACCCCAAAAGTTTGAAGTTGCTGTGGGCTATAATGCCATGGCACTCTACCCAGAGAAACTGAGTGAGATTGTCTCAGGAGAAAAAAAAAAAAAATCCAAGTGCTGTAAGAAAAAGACTGCCAACCAAGAATACCATCTATACTCATCAAAGCTATTTTTCAAGAGTGAATGTGAAATAGTCTTTTCCCACAACCAAAAGCTAAGGGAAGTCATCAATACTAAAGCAGGCTTATAAGAAATGCTATGGAAGTGCTTTTACTGAAAGCCAAAGGATGATAATTATTAAAACATATGACAGTATAAAACTCACAGGTGGGGTTAAATTCATTATCAAATTCAGAATTCTCCATTACTGTAATGGTGTTATATAAATCTTTCAACCCTCTAGCATGAAATTTAAAAGTCAAAAT